TCATATAGTACAAGTAGAGTAAGTTTCCGTTTACCCATAGCTGCTCTGATGTCACCAACAACTTTCAGGAGTGCTGTGGTTGTGCTATAGCCAGCTCTGAATCCGGATTGATGCGGTGATAACAGGTTATTGGCGGTTAAAAACTCAGTGAGTTGGAAATGAACAATTTTTTCTAATAACTTGGATAGCGTACACAGTAGACTTATGGGGCGAAATTGCTTGACCTCGCTGGCACCGCTCACTTTGGGAAGTGGTTTAACAGCAGCAATTTTCCACAATTCAGGGAATACAGCATGTTGAAGTGAGTAATTGAAAATGTGTAGTATGGCAGGAGACAGTTCAAAAATACAACATTTAAGCATAGCAGAGGTAATACAGTCAATTCCTTTAGCATTAGATTTAAGGCTTCTTACAACTCTAAGCAAATCATCAAAATAAACATGTTTGAATGCAAAGAGGTCGTTGACTGTAGGGGTTAGTGTGTCGTAGCCTTCAGTGGTATTTTTTATTGCGTTAGCATCTGTGACAGGTACTGATGTGTAGTGGGCATTTAGGCTTTCAGCAGGAGGGTAAGTACAAGATTGGACTGAGGTTTTGGATACATTCAGGTTTTTTAGGGATTGCCAGAGGAGTTTAGGGTTGTTACAGTTGTTGTTGAATAAGGAATGCGCATGGCGCATCTTGGCATTTCTAATGAGTGTTTTAGTTTTATTTCTAAGTGTTTTATATTTGGTGAGATCTGCAGGACATTTGTTGCGTTGATAGTGTCTATAGGCGATATCACGGCTTCTAATCATTGCATCTATATCAGTGTTGAACCAGGGCTTGGGTTGAGTTTTGTTCGTGAATGTTTTGAGGGGGGCGTGTTTGTCAAAGAGTGTAGTAAGAACTTCATTAAAGTATGCCACTTTATCGTTAATGTTGTTCATATGCAGAAGATCCTCCCATGAGGCTTCCTTAAGTTCATTTCTGAATTCCTCAATATTGAATTTTGAGTAGTCTCTTCTAGTACAGGTTGTGCGTGAACGTTTTAGTGAGTTAAAGTTAAACACTGCAGATAGCATGTCGTGGGCAGATAATTCACAGGCTGGAAACTGCGAGAAGTGGAGTAGTTTGTCTGGACATGTCGAGGAAATCATGTCGAGAGACGAGTCACACGTGGCTGTGTGGTAAGTGGCAGCAAAAGGCACTCGTGTTAAGTTACACATTTCCAGTAGCTTCACAATGCACTTGCCATCGTTAATATGACAGGGTAGCAGACTATCAAAGTGAGCATTCACGTCACCAGCAACAATAACATGTTGATATTCTGCACACAGAGGAAAGAGGGCCTCTTCAAAATGTTCTAGATGTCCAGCTTTTGGTGGTCTATAAATACAAGCAAATAACAACTTTGCATTCGTTAGTGTAACCTCAACTATTATGAAGTCAGGCTGTTGTTGTCTAAACGTTGGTGATACTGATTGAGTTAAAACTTTGCATTGGTAAGATGATTTGACATAAACAGCTACGCCCCCACCATCATGAGAGGTCCTGTTTGAGACAAAAACATTGTAGCCAGAAAGGGGTAGCACGTCGTCGTTTGATTTGTAGAAGGTCTCACTTACTGCAATTATATCTATATCACTGTTATCAAACAAGTGGGTAAACTCATTGGCATGACAATCATAGGTTAGTGCCTGGGCATTTAAGTGAATAATTTTTAGGAGATTTTTGTAATTATTGCACAGGGAAGTTAAAATAGACTTACTATCTAGCACAGCCATTTAGGTGTAGAAGTATGAGCAATACACACAGCCCGAAGTAAATAGTAACAAGACATTATCAAAAACAAACTGAAAATTAAAGCAAAGACAAGAATAACAAGCCGAACTGTACCAGAGAGAGAGCAATGAAACACTGGTAGAAACATTATTGATCGACAAAGCGCCATAGATGAACAAGAGATAAAATTTGAGTCCTTTCACTATTTGTTTGCTTTCTCACAAAGAGTTTCCCCCCGGAAACCCACACATCACTAAGTTTTCCTTCGGCTCTCAGACGGCGGGCATTATTAAAGAGAGTTCTCATAGACTGGCTGAGGCTCTCCCTAATGTAGATGATGGAACTAGCGTGCGGGATGAACGCAGGCTTGTCTTTGAAGATATCAAGGTCATTTACAGTAAGGTCACGTTTAACCTTACGGGCACGGAGGAAGCCTTCTTTGTCTGGTTTCCGCAGGAACCGGACGATGATCCCCCGTTGGGTGGCGGAGGCCGGCCCGGTTCGATGTGCAACTTCAACATTTTCCCGGGACAGCGGAAAATGCAGGGCCTTGCCAAGACTGTCCAGAATCACATCGACATTTTCCCCATTGAAACAAGGGATCCCCACAACGTCAACGTCGTTGACCCGCGAGTACTGCTCGGTGGCGAGCAGCGCGGCCTCAAGTTCGCTCACCCTGTTACGCAGCTGTTCGTTGTCGGCCTCCAGAGAGCCGACGTTCTTCTCGAGCGACTCGACCTTGGCGGTGAGCACGGAGACGGTGGCCGTGCAGTTTTCGATGGCCGCACCTAGGTTGGCCTCGGTGTCCTTTAGCATTTTTTCTTGTTTTGAGCTGCTTGCCTCAATCGCCGCCAAAATATGCTGCAGAGTCAGGCCGTCCGGGCCACTCGACGAGCACGCTGTACAAGTCCAGCTTGGCGCCTGGGACGCCGGGACACATTTCTTGTGGCAGACGACCTCCTTGCACTTGATGCACTCGATAGTTTCGGCCCTTTGAGCGATCGCCTTGTCACAACTGTGGCAGGTACTCGGCATGGTGGCAGGGGGGCGCGCACAACAATAACAACACTTGGCACAGCAGACGAAGGCAGGCGAGAAGCACAGGTCGCTCGGCGGTTCAAAGTTCACACAGTTAGAAGCACAGCACCATTCCACATCGAAACAATATCGGTTTTGCGAATTAACTGTTCATTTTGGCAGAAATAAACACTGTCTACGGCGCACGGTACAGCCAGCCGGCCGGCGGCTAGGCGGGCGGCGGGCGGGC